TGGATCCCTAAAGTTTGAGAGTCTGCTGCGGAAGCACTTCTACAGCATCATAACTGCAGCGCGGAGTGATTATTCGAGGACAGCTCGAGTAGTGGGCCGATCTTAAGCCCTCGAGGATGCAAACTGATAGGTGCGACGATGACCGACTCCACGGTAGAGCCTGAAAGTTCCGAAACCGCCATGAAACCCGAGATCCAGTCGAAACCCACTTCGACGCAGCAGAACAGCTGTAGCGCGAAACTCGTTTTCCGAGTCTAGCTCGACTGATAAAATAATCTCGGCGCCCTCGGGATTGCGAACTCATGCGGTTGGCGGTGCCCGATCCGATGGCATGCCTGAGAGCGTTGCAACTGCTCTGAATCCCGAGGCCAAATCGAACAAAAACAATTAGACACGTGTTTATAAGCCAGGAGGAGCCCTGTGACAAGAGAAGGATAAACAACGACGAAGAGACGACAGCAGCAGAACAGCAGAGCAGCAGAACAGAACCAGTGGGTTGCAGTCTGATGCTTTCGACTGCGCCAAATCAAATGGTATGCCTAGTAGCTCCATAGCTGCTCTACATCCCGAGATCAAGTCGAAAAAAACAGTTCGACTCGCAGCAGAAAATCTGCAGTCCAGAAATAGTTTTCGAATATAGCTCGAGTGATGAGCTGACGTCAGGGCTCTCAAGGAGGCCTCCAAGAGACTCCCAGGAAGCCCCCGGGAGGGCCGCAACGGGCCTCCTCTTCTTCCTCCTCCTATTCCTCGTCGTCCTTCTCCCCCCTCTCCTCCTTTCTCACGGCTGGGGGAACACATAGTCCAACAGCTTGGCCAAATGTCGGCCCAACGTTTGGCCGCATGGGCGTCCTAAAAGCAAGAGGCGGCGGTGATTAGCCGTAGGCGTCTTCGATATGGACCCAACCTAACACGTCGCATCAAGCACTCTTCACCACGGCCCACTCGATTCACACTTGCGCATGATACCGCGGAACGACCTGTTCATCCACGTAGTCGTCATTACCACACCGCTACGTGCGGCATGCTATCGGCACCGTGCATCCTTCCCCTCGGCTCCTCTGCGCTCTCGCTGCGTCCCCAGCGCCGCGCAGGGACCTCAGGACCTGGGCAGAAGCGTGCTCCAGTCGCGATGTGTCCGATGGAAGGGTCTGAGTGGTGAGGAGGCAGACGGGCTGAGACGGGGTGGGAAAATGGGTGGGGACGTGGAGGAATCGGGGAGACGTAAGACCCGGGTACGGGGGACTCGGAAATCCCCGACGAGGTCGTCAAAAAAATGACGAGGCCGAGCCTGCATTTTGACGAGGCCTCCCGCTGCAGACGTCCCACGAAACTCCTACTCGTCAAAATCCGAGGCGCGGTCGTCAAAAAACGATGGCGAACCCGAGTCCTGGCAAACCCGGGTCTTACGCTCCCCCGATACAATTGAACAGGGACCGACCGTCCCGGCATTCCTATAGTCATACCACGAAATTGTCTTAGAACCCAAAAGGTTCTAAGAACAAAAACACGGTTCTTAGAACATAATCCCGATGAGTTAAAACAAGACAATGTCCGCCAAACATGTTCTAAGAACATTTCGTGGGAACCAAAAAACGGTTCTTAGAACATTCTTTGGTGGGGCTATAAGCGAGCCGGGACGCTTCGCCGCTGCTTGATACAGAGCCACCGACACCACACCCAAATGACAAGTCCACCCCTCAAACCGCGCAAGCAGCAAGCGCCGACACACGGTGAAGCGGCAGAGCCTCTCGCGCGCGCGCTGCGCATTCTCACCCGAGCCCCTCGAGTCGATGGCCGGCCATTGTGGCGCAACTGAAATTACACTGGCGGGTGCGTTCGTGGAGAAGCGCAGAGGCTGCGCGGCAGAGAGCAACGTCACTTGCATCGAGCGGACGGGGTACACAGGGGGTGCGAGGGCAACGCCGTGAATGAGCTTCAGCGGGCTCCGCGCAACGCGCTCGGATGCACTCGCCACCTGTCCGCCTGGGGCACCCGGCGAGGTACCGAGCCTCACGTCCCAGAGTCGGCTCGAGTTCTCTATGCGGAATACCCACCGGTCCGGAGGAGGTAGAGCCACCAAGCAGAAAGGCGTCGAACGTAGATGGGGCATCCACCCGCCCACTCAAGAGTAGGGGAATAAGCACACTCGCCCGCAGTGGACTGGAGTGTGGGGATCCCGAACTGCCTACGATCGACGACCAAGAGTCGTCATAACTTCTCCTTGAGCGGCTCAGGAAATACTTGGCCAGTTCTCTGCGGCGACCTAGGCCATCCGTTGGCGGGGGGAGGGAGGAAGTACCGGTCGACAACCTGACCTTCCCGCTGTTGGGCAGCCCCACGCATGCCCGCGCGCGCGTACCAATACTGCGCACCCCATCTGGCCCTGCGCCAACCAGGTCAGGTTATCCGGGGGGAGGGGGGGGGCGGGCGGGCGGGCGGGGATATCGGGGGCGGCCAAGAGGGGGGTGTCCAAGAGGGGGGGGTGCAAATCATGACCGGCGGCATGTGCGCGGCACAGCGGGGGGGCCAGGGACGTAACGAAATAAGAAGAGGCGCCAGGAAATCTGGGGAAATATCATGGCCCCGCCATGATATCCCCCCCTAGTCATCACCCCCCTCTTTGCCGCCCCCGACCATAGGGAAACCAAGAGGTGCCGATGTCGCTACTCCCTGGACCTCTCCCGGGGTGCTCCGACGAACCTTCCGGGGCGAGTCAAGGCGTGGCGACGCGCGCCTCCGAGGAGGCCCAAAGAAGACGAAAACGTGGGAAGGGGTGGCGGTGTATGTGCAACTTGTGCTCCTCTTAGGTTACAGTCAACCCGCAGAGTAAGGATGCACGATAAGGATGCAAGGCCCTTGGACGCCCGTTTCGAAGCGTTTCGAGCGGGGCGCGGCCAACGAAAGTGGCCAAGGATGGGGCGAGGAGGCAAGGATACAAGGGTACGCTTGGGAGGGATGCCTATTCTTACTCTGCGGGTCGACTGCATCGCCGAACCCTTCACCAACACTTCAACCACCCCAATCCTGGGTGCTCTCGGGCGCTCCTGGGGCTTCCTGGCGGCCGATCTCTCGGCCCGAGGGCCGTCTCCGGGGCCCTGAGGGGGTGGCCCAATACACCAACAGCAAGGGAAGGCGTTCGTGGTGCTGTGTGGAAGTTTCGTACGCTCTCCTTGTCGGTCTCAGGAGCGCCCAAGACGGCCTCGTGAGAGCCCCAAGAGGGCCCCCACACAGCCAGCAAGCTCCCCGCCACGCTCCCCAAAGACCCTCCTCGAGGGGCCCCAGGGAGGCCCCAAAGAGGCTGCAAGAATCATCCAGTGGGCCTCTTGTCTGCTACCCAGGCGCAATGGCTGGGTGGGCCTGAGGTTAGGTCGGGCCTGTCCCCCTCCAGGTGGATCTTGGACGAACGAAAACAGAATAGCCAAAACAGCAACGGTCAAAACATGGTCCCCCTGTTATTTTTGGATTTTTTTTATTTCTCCTGCTGGGGGACACGCCAGACCTGAGTCTACCATCCAGGCGCAATGGCTGGGTGGGCCTGAGGCCACCCGATGCTTCCCGCTGGCGCCCTGCCGATCCTCCCCCCATCGGATTACCTGCAATTCAACTGGAGAATGCGGGAAGAGGCCAGTATTCGACCACAGACGTATCAGGGCGGATGCTGAATTCATCCTCCCAGGAACTGCATCCTGAGAAATGGAAGGGGGGGCGCGTGGGTGGAAGAGGGGCAAGAAGAGAGCAGAGAACGGCACAATACCACGAGCCGGAACTTTCCGATCGTGGGTGCCCGCTCTTCTGAACAAGGCCCGCGCAGACAGCAACCGCCCTCTCGCCGACAGGTGCCGTGCGCATTGGCCACACATTCGTCAGGAGAAGTGGAGGAGCGCTGGAGCGAAGGTCAGGAGATCCCAGGATCGAATCGACAAAGCGGATCGGCGACCGAAACGAATCGGATCGGCGAACATCGGCAGCCGAGTCGGAAAGCACGGGACGGGCGGAGGAGACCGGCAGGCTAGTATGCCTCCGATGAGGAATTGGAATCCGAATCGGCACCCCGAGTCGAAGCTGCGAATCGGAATCGGAAGCCATCGGGGTCGAATCGAATCGAATCGGAGGCATCGAAAGGAGCCCCGGAAGGTCCCGAGAAGCGGTGGCGAGCAGGGCGGGGGAAGGGGGAATGAAGGGGCCCAGGGACACGCAAAGAAATACACCCAAAATAAACAGCCTTCCCCCCAATCTTCCAATATTTTCTGGGTGGTTGTCTTGCCCCCCACTTCCCACATTTTCCCATATTCTCTGGGGACTCGACGAGTTTTTTGTGTCTGTGTGTGCGTGTTTTTTGCCCCTCCCTGAGGGCAGGCGGCGGAGCGATGCCAAGAGGTGGATTGAAGGGGCCCAGGGACACGCAAAGACATACACGCAAAAAACAGGCTCCCCCCCCATTTTCCAATACTTTCTGGGATGTTGTCTTGCCCCCCACTTCCCACAGTTCCCCAGATGTTCTAGGGGCTCGACGATTCATTGTGTCTTGCCCCCCCCACTTCCTATAGATTCCCATCTTTTCTGGGGGATCGACGACTCATTGTGTCTGTGTGTGTGTCTGTGTTTTTTTCCCCCTCCCTGAGGGCAGACGGAGGAGGAGGGGCGCGCGCCGAGGCCGGGCGACCCCCACGGTTCCCGTGGCGGCGCGCGGCCGGGGCTGCGGGCCATGAAGCTATGCAGAACGTCCACCCTCCCCCTCCCCCCCTCCCTCCTCCTCCCCCTCCCTCCCTCCTCCCCTCCCTCCTCCTCCCCCTCCTCCCCTCCTCCCCTCCTCCTCCTCCCTCCCCCTCCTCCTCCTCCCCCCCCTCCCTCCTCCTCCCTCCCTCCTCCTCCCCTCCCCCTCCTCCTCCCCTCCCCCTCCTCTCCTCCTCCTCCTCCTCCTCCTCCTCCTCTTCCTCCTCCTCTTCCTCCTCCTCCTCTCCTCCTCCTGCTCCCTCCCTCCCCTCCTCTCCTCCTCCCGCCTCCCCACTTGTGCACATCGCCTCGCCCCTGGGCCTCCCACAGCGCCTGGGACGGCGCTCAGTAGGATGCGCCCGGCTGCAGATACTGCCACGCGACGGGCGTGCTGCTGAGCAGCGAAGATATTTTGCTTCTGCGCTCCTCTTCCTTCTGCTCCCTTCCCCTCCTCCTCCTCCTCCTCCTCTCCTCCTCCTCCTCCTCTCCTCCTCCTCCTCCTCCCTGTCCTCCTCATCCCGTTGCTCCTCCTCTCCTCCTCCTTCTCCTCCTCCTCCTCCTCCTCCTCCTCCTCCTCCTCCATTCGATTTCCTTATTGACAACTCTCTGTCGTACCCCGAGGCCCGTCGAGAGGGCAGCGCCGCGCGTTTCGCCGGAGACTTCCTCCGAATTTTGCGACAATTCCACGGCCGGAGGGCGGCCCGCTTTCAAAATGCAGTTCTCGCCTCAGCGCCGCGCACACTCGTGCAAAACATTCGCCCGAGCGCCGCGCACATTCGTCTTGAACATGTGCAGGAGTTTCACGGATGGAGCGCGGTCCGACTCAAGAGCCTGCAACAGTTTCAAGGACTCTCAGGGCTAACGTCCGAGAAATGGCTTTTTGGCACGATGTCGGCATGTCAGGCCGCAACAGTCAGGTTGCTTCGCGGTATTACCGTCCCAGCAATGGCGTTCTAGCGCAATTCAAGATCGTCAAGACGCAAAAGTAACGGTAATTCGCGGTTCCTTCTCCTTCCCCCCCTCCTTCTCCGCCCTCCTCCTCCTCGTCCCCCTCGCCGTCCTCGCTTCTACCCTCTGCCTCCAACTCCATCTCACGAGGACGAAGGAGGGGGACGGGGGATGCGACCAGGAGGGGAGATGGAGGGGGCGGGGGAGTTCGAAGAGAAAACTGTGTGAGCATAAACTGTCGGAGCTCCGCGCGGATTTCCTGGATCGGCGCTGGACCCCCCGACCTGGCGCACGGATCGCGCCGAGGGGCCCAACGCCGACCCAGCGACTCCGCGCTGTTGTACCATCTCTCCTTCGAGCCCGGGAACCGCGCTCTCGCGCAGGACTTCCTCGCAACTGGTCCGTCGCCGCACCCTCGACTCTCGGGAACCACACTCTCGCTCTGGACTTCGCCACGATGGCCTTGGGAAGCGCGCTGTCGCTGCAGGCTTCCGCACGATTCATGCAAGACTGAGGCTTCAGCGGCTGGCCCGCTCGACCTGGCCGTCTGGGCGCGCGCGCCCGACGCGCCCGTCAGGGCTCCACCCGCCTGTCCCCCCCAGCCGAAGCGCGCGGACTGTGGCATCTTGATGCCCCTGGTGGGGATCGCGAGAACAGTACACTCAAACTGATAGCAAAGATTCGCGGGAAGGAGCACGTCAGAATTGATGGCAAGTCTGCTCCTGCTCCTACGAAGCCACTGTCAAAAAATTGTCAGGCGGGGCTGGCCATCGGAAGAGGCTGAGGCTGGACCGAGGGGGGTACCCTTTGGGAGGTCGCCCGTCCTTACCATAGGCTTCGACTGCAACTCTCGGCGGCGAGCCCGGGGAGAAAGTGAGAAGGCGCGGGCCTCATCAGAAGGCTCGGAAGTCCCCCAGCCTTCTGAGAAGTTTCAGAAGCCTCCCCCAAAGGCAGAAACAAACCTCTCAGAAGGTCAGAGACCTTCTGAGCAGGTCCGCCGTCTTTTGAGAAGGGCTTCTCGCGCGCCGCCGAGTTAAGGCTGAGCCGAGGAGGCAAGGATGCAAGGGTACTCTGCGGGAGCTGCCCATCTTTACCTTTGGTCGACCCAAAAGGGGGTCCAGCTGAAAGGGGGTGGTGCAATAGCTGTGGGGCAATAGTTTCGCACATGTATTGCGCCAGAGGTTTGTGTTGCATTGTGTTGCAGCCAATGCATTGCACACGGAAATCCAGCAATACGCTTGCGCACAAGAACGCACTGCACGCCCCCATATGTTGCAACCCCACACATATCTATATACATATACATGTACCTATTTATGTATATGTATGTATGTATGTATGTATGTATGTATGCATGTATGTATGTATGTATGGATGGATGGATGCATGCATGCATGCATGCATGCATGCATGCATGCATGCATGCATGTGTGTATGTCTGTATATATGTATGTATGTATGTATGTATGTATGTATGTATGTATGTATGTATGTATGTATGTATGTATGTATGTATGTATGTATGCATGTGTGTGTGTGTATATGTGTATGTATGTTGTATGTATGTATGTATGTATGTATGTGTGTGTATGTATGTATGTATGTATGTATGCATGCATGCATGCATGCATGCATGCATGTATGTATGTATGTATGTATGTATGTATATATATATATATGTGTGTTGCACCCGATCCATTGCACCACCCCCTTGCAGCTAGACCCCCTGGTGATCGTTTTTTACTCGGCGTTTCGACAGTGGGCGGAAGGGGGGGGGGTCTGGCTCTGGACCTCGGCTCGGTGCGACTGTTTGGGACCGTGCGTCCTATGGGGAGGGACTCACCCTGCTCGAAGCAGGCGCCCCAAACAGCCAAGATCCACTCCAAGGGGCGGGGGGGATGGGGGGGGGGTCCGAGGGCCCGCGCCGATCGGCAAAAGAATGCATAACAAAAACGACCACTTGGGTCAACCAGATTACCATCGGCTTCGACTGCAACACGGGGAAGGGCCAACTGAGACGACGGCGGCGTTGGCGGCTCCTGCGCCCTGGCACAGCCCGCTCCGCAACGGGCCCCCCCCCCAGTCCCTCCAACTTGGTCCCCTTTCCGGCCCGCTCTGCGAGGCGAGTCTGGCCAGAGACTCCAGGAGTCCCTCCCGAAGGGCGAACATCGGCGGCGAGCGAGGGGGAGAAGTGAGGAGGAGGCCCGCTCAGAAGGCGGCGGGGCTCCTCAGAGGCCCTCGCGCATCATCTGAGGAGTGCTGTCTGTGCTCTCGGGAGAGGCGTAGGAAACGCCTCAGGAGGCCGTGGGACTTCCGAGTTTTCTGAGCAGGCTCGCCCCTTCTCACTTCCCCCCTCGCTCGTCGCTGGCCTTCACCCTTGAACGGTCATGGCTCCCCGTTATCGGGAGCGGCCAAGAGGGGGGTGTCCAAAAGGGGGGGGTGCAAATCATGACCGACGGCATGTGCCCGGCACAGCGGGGTGGCCAGGGACGTAATGAAATGAGAAGAGGCGCCATGAAATCTGGGGAAATATCATGGCCCCCGCCATGCCGCCATGATACCCACCCACCCCCAGTCATCACCCCCCTCTTTGCCGCCCCCGACGATAGCGCAGATCGCACGATCGTGGCCGACCCCGGGCCCCTGGCGGCGCCCCACCTTGAGAACGCCCGTGCGGGAGCCGCCGGCGCGCCGGCATGGCCCAGAAACCTGCCGCAGGAGACGCCCCCAGGCAGCTGAGATCGACTCCCTTTCGAGGCACGAGCCTCCGACCTCTCGGCCACTTCCCCGACTCCGTTTTTCCGTCCCGAGCCGTTGGCGGTCCCGGGGCCCGGAGCCAGCCCCCAGAGATCGAAGACTGCCCTGCAATCGTGACATTGGGGGAGCCAACAGGTACCGATACCGCTGCTTCCTGTCTCCTTCAGGGCGCGTTCTGGCCAGAATTTCAAAGCAAATCCAGCGGTGGCGACGAGGGACCCCAGGAGGCCGAACAAGGGGAACACGGGCGAAGGGCAGCGGTATGGGTAAATTGTCCTCCCCTGACCCCAGAGAACGAAAACTGCCCTCCCGTCGCGATATTAATCCACGGCGCGAGCACGTCTTGGACCTCCCTCGGCTACACGCAGGAGGTGACCCTGGGTAAGAGTGACCTTCGGAGCGCTGCTTTTTAGGAGCTGCTACGATCGCATTGCGTTCGGAGATCGGGGGGCCCCGGTGGGCCCACACTCAAGGTCATTCCAGCGAAGGGCCACCCATGCGTGCATTGGGCAACGCTTCATGGGGGGGCGATACATGGGGGAAGAAAGATGCCTTTGGGAGGCCCTGAAGGCTGGGCCCTGAAGGGCCTGTTCAGGGGCACTGAATGGACAGTTTCCCCCGGTGCCGTAGGCGACCCGAGGCGGAGAGGGCGAGGAGGAGGAGGAGGAGGAGGAGGAGGAGGAGGAGGAGGAGGAGGAGGAGGAGGAGGAGGAGGAGGAGGAGGAGGAGAGAGGATGGCGGGTCGCCTAAGCGCTCTGGAGGAACCCTAAAAGCCCTCAAAGGGCTCCTTTTCGGCAACCCTCGCTGCCCCCCATTTGTGCCCCCCCCCCCCACCACCACCACCACCACCAAATAATTTGCACCTGTGAACCCGCACCAAAGGTCACTCCGGCGAAGGGCCGGCTCCCTGGCCGGAGGAGGGCGGAGGAGGAGGAGTCGGGCGGCGGAGGAGGAGGAGGAGGAGGAGGAGGAGAAGTCAGGAGGAGGAGGAGTCAGGAGGAGGAGGAGGAGAGGAGACGGAGGAGGAGGAGGAGGAGGAGGAGGGATGATGATGAGGAGCAGGAGGACGAGGAGGCCACTCTTACGTGCAGTCGGCTCCCTCCCTGGCCGGAAAGCGCGCCCTCCTCGCGCCAGCGTGGCCCATGCCGTACGCGGCGGCGACGCGCGCCGCAGCGCCGGTGCCCATCGGCGTCGGCTGCACCCCGAGCAGGGACGGCGAGGGGAAGGGGACTCCTGGAGAGCAGTTGTTTTGGCGGCGATAAGGGGCACTCCTCCTCCTCCTCCTCCTCCTCCTCCTCCTCCTCCTCCTCATCTTCCTCATCATCGCTTCTCCTCCTCCTCCTCCTCCTCCTCCTCCTCCTCCTCCTCCTCCTCCTCTTCATCATCCTTATGGCGACTTCACGTTTGTTCTGTCACTTTCTATTGGTCCCCAACTTCCCCCGGCACCGGGGGCAACCCCAGCAATGTCGCCTTTGAGCGTGGGGCACTTACATCCAGGCCACCTCAAGTCAGGGCATCTCGTAGCCAGGGGTTCCGAGGATTTCTCTCGCGAAACGTACCTGAGCACATCGCGGACCACGTCTTGGAACCCAGAAATGTGCAAAACGTCTCAAACGACACGGGCCAGAGCGCCTCAATTCAGGGCACCTCGCAGCAACCCGGGGTTCGGAGGATGTCTCAGGCGAATCGGGCCCGAGTACCTCGCGAACCCAGGGATGCCTCAGGCGCAACAGGCCAGAGCACCTCGCGAGCCGCACCTGGGATCCCAGAAGCTTGAGCTGCGAGGATGTGTCAGGCCCCGCCCGAGGCCTCGCGAGCCGCCTCTGGGACCCCAGGAGCGCGAGCTGCGAGGATGCCTCAGGCCCCGCCCGAGGATGTCTCGAGCGAAACGGGCCTCAGCACCTCGCGCATCGCATCCTGAACCCAGAGTTGCGAGGCCGACCAGCCACAACTGGGGGAGCTGTGGTCTTTACCCCCCTGGGGGAACCCATCGCATCGACGATCTCTCGAGAGGGGTGTCGAAAGCGACGGGCCCCCCAGGGGGGTAAGGACCACAGCTCCCCCAATTGTGGAGGACGTCTCAGGTCAAACAGTCCGAGCCAAGGATCCCGAGAATGTCTCATCCGAAACATGCCCGAGGGCCTCGCGAATCTAGAGGAAAAAGAACTATGCACATACACCGATTCTGGCCAGGACCATCCTGAGCCCAGGATCGGTGCATACGCCCTCCTACCTTGGCCAGGAAGGTATATGCACCGATCCTGGGTCAAGGATGGGCGGTGTCAGGATCGGTGCATGTGCGTAGTTCTCTTCGCCCGAGAATCACACCTCGGAACCCGGAGTGGTGAGGACGTCCGAAGCGAAGCTGGCCAGGCCGCCTCTATCTATGCAGGGCATCTCTCGAAGCCTGCAGGCTCGGAGGATGCCTCGAGCCAGCGGCGGATCGAAGACGTCTCGTGCGGCACGGAGCGGAGCAGCCGGAGCCGGGGCATCCCGGAGCCCAGGGCTCTCCGAGGACGCCCCGAGCGCAGCGGGGCCTCGGCACCTCGTGGCCCGCACCTGCATCCCCGAGTTGCGAGGACGTCTCGGGCCCAACGTTAAGTCGGGCCTGTCCCCTCACAGGGGGATTTTCGACGAAGCAGAAGCAATACCCCAAAAATAATCAACAACATTCCGAAAATAGTCTGGGGACTGTTTTTTGAGTATGGTTTGACTTTTTGGGGCGTGTTTTTAAGGCATTTTGCATTTATCGTAAAAAATCCGCCTGTAGGGGGACACGCCCGACATAAGCCCAACGGTCCGAGCCAGGGACTCCGAGGAGGTCCCAGACGAAACGTGCCTGCGTGCCTCGCGAACCACATCGTGGAACCCAGAACTGTCACAGCGTCTCAAGCGAAGCGAGCCAGAGCACCTCCACTCCGGGCAGCTCGAAGCCTGGGGGTCCGAGGATGCCTCCGGCGAGAAACGGGCCCGAGCACCTCGCGAACCGCGTCCTGGAATCCAGAGTTGTGAGGACGCCTCCGGCGAAACGAGCCCGAGCACAGCAAGCCAGGGCACCTCGGAGCCCGAGGTTCTGAGGATGCCTCTCTGTGGGCCATGGGGCGGATGGCCACCCCTCCAGGGCACCTCCCCGGCTCCGACGTGTTGGGGTTGCCGGGGTCGCCCGCGGAGCTGTCCGGAGGAGGAGGAGGAGGAAGAGGAGGAGGGGGAGGAGGAGGAGGAGGAGGAGGAGGAGGAGGAGGAGGAGGAGGGGAGGAGGGAGGAGAGGGGGAGGGAGGAGGGGAGGAGGAGGAGAGGGGGGGGAGGAGGAGGAGGAGGAGGAGGAGGGGAGGAGGAGGAGGAGGGGGCGACCTGGGCACCCAGGCTCAGGTGCACTGTGCCCCCGCCAGCCAGGGCAAGCCCTGGCCGGGGCCCCGAGCAGCCCCAGAAGCAACCGAGGGGAGCCAGCGAGGACATACGGCTCCGACACACCACACACACACACCACACACACACACACACACACACACACACCACACACACACACACACACACACACACACACACACACACACACACACACGCACACACACACACACACACACACGCACGCACACACACACACACACACACACACACGCACACACCTCCACCCCGTAAAACAAACGGACTGTTCGAGACATCCCCACAATCTGGGCGCGAACGGGCCCGTGAGACACACTTCGTCGGCAGAGCACCAGCCCGCATCACCAGGTACGATCGAGCCGCGTCCAGACCTGGCGACGAGAAGTGTCCCGAGAGCATTGGAAACAAGAGTACTTCTCTGACAACAATACGAGCATTATCCTTCCTCCACCTCGTCCTCTATCATCGTGCTACTCCTCCTCCTCCCACTCCTTCTTCACGTCACACTCCACAACGGTTGCTCGGAATCGCGGGGACGTCTTATGCGAAACTGGCTGGACCCCTTCGCACGCGGCATCTATTAGCCGAGAATTGCGGGGGCATCTCAGGCCTAACTGACCGGATCACCTCGCGGGTGGCCTTTTCAAGCCTTGCATAGCGACGATGCCTCAAGAGAAGCGAACAAGGCAACCTCAGATCACGGTATCCCCGAACCCCAAAGGTCTGAGGATGCTTCAATCGATATGGGCAGGACCACCTCTCGCGTAGCGTCTGGGAGCCCAGAGTTGCGAGGATGTTTCAAGCGAAACGAGCAGGACCATGTCAGATCTTGTTGCCTCGGAGCGCAGAGTTACGACTATGTCTCAAGCGAAACGGGCCGAATCACCTCAACATGTTGCCAATGTCTCGACGCGCGTGCCCCTCGGGCGGCATTCGTTCTTACTGCAGCAATGCCCCCTGGCACCAGTCGGGCGACCCGGAAACACTCCAAGACAAAACCTTTTGAACGGAAGCAATCGAACATTCTCTTACGTAGGGTGCGATCGACGGTATCGGCGGCGAGCGAGGGGGGAAGTGAGAGGAGAAAGCCTTCTCAGAACGCGGCGGGGCTTCTCAGAGGCCCTCGCGCCTTCTGAAAAGTTCTTTCTGCGTCTTCGGGGGATGCTTAGGAAACTTCTCAGAATGCCATGGGACTTCCAAGCCTTCAAGGCCTGCCCCTTCTCACTCCCCCCACTCGCTCGCCGCCGATTGTTACTCGCGGCGGTAACGCACGTTATCCAGGGGGCGAAGAACGGCATGAATTAAACTTTTTCGCCGCCGTGAACGCCTGTCCCAGGGCGGCTGAACAGTTTATACCCTTCTGGTGGCACGTCACAATGCAAACTTTCCAGCCGCCCTAAGACAAGTGCCCCAGGTTACGGAAACAATGATTATATACCGTTGTTCGCCCGCTAAGATAACGGACGTTCTGGGGGGGTAGCGGGGGGAAAGCAGCCCCCCCGGTGTGGGTTTGGCACCAGGACTGCGATGCCGGACGCACTGCGGCAGTGAACTGGGGACGCACCTGGGGGGACTGTTGCGTTTTGGCGAGGGGGTCGGAGCAGGGGCAATGACGATTCCGACGGATAAAGGGAGGGGTGGGGGGGCATGGCGCGCGTTGTGCCCCAAAGGTTGAAAGACACGCTCCTGCGGCGGGAGGGCAGCGGACAAGCAGCGCGGCGGGAGGTGGCGTGTCCCCGCGTCGCAAGGGTTAAGTCGGGCCTGTCCCCCTACAGGCCGATTTTGAATGAAAAATTAAAAAGAGACCCCAAAATACCCTAAAAATGCTCAAACATGGTCGAAAAATAATCCCCAGATTATTTGTTGACAATGTTTGAATATTCCCCCTGTAGAGGGACAAACCCGACTGAACGCAAAGGGTGGCTCGCGTCGTAGAAGGATCACGACGAAGATGCGTCTTCCTTGTCAGGCCCATGAGCCGTCAAAAAACAAGTCGGGGTGAAAATCTGGCGCTGGGGAGAAGGGTCGGGGTTCCCGGAGACCGCGTGTCGTAAGAACCAAGGCACCGCATGACTGGGGGGTGGAGGAGGAGGGGGTGGAGGAGGAGCAGGAGGAGGAGGAGGAGGAGGAGGAGGAGGACGAGGAGAGGGAGGAGGAGGAGGAGGAGGAGGAGGAAGGAGGAGGAGGAGGAGGAGGGATGGAGGAGGAGGAGAGGAGGAGGAGGAGGAGGACGAGGAGAGCGAGAAGGAGAGCGGGGAGGAGGGAGGAGGAGGAGGGGGTGGAGGAGGGGGGGGAAGAGGTAACTGGCAAGAAGGAGGGGGGATGGGGATCGAGGGGGGGCGGAGGCTTCAGGGCCTCAGGGCTGCGGGCGGGGCGCCCAGAAACGCTACAACCTCAGGAGCAGGGGGCGGCGGGAGGAAAGGCTAACTGTAGAGCCTACAATGACTACCTACTAGACCACCCCAACCCAACCCGAAGACCCGAATTTCAGGTTGGGGGGGGTATGGGTTCCATATGTGTGTTTTCGATGTTCCCGGACCCCCCCCACTAGAAATCGAGGGTAAATCTGAGCCTTCGGGTTGGGTTGGGGTGGTTTGGTGGGTGGTGATACAAGAACACGGCGGTGCCATAAGAAGAATGGCCGGGCAATAGTCTAAAATCTGACGCGAACACCCGCTGAAAGCGTGTCACAGAAACTGGCCCGTCACAGTGGATGCCGGGACCGTCAAACAGCGCCATCAAACGAGCTCGTCACGGATGCTCTCCCGAATGGTGCACGGATTCGAAATCGAAACGGGTCGGATGCACCAAAATGCACCAACACACCTGAATCGAAGCGGATTGGGCGA